ATGACACGATGTTAAGAGCCATCAACCTAAAATCACACAACAGATAACTTTTCTCTGAAGTTTTTATATATTTCCGGTAGGATCTGAGGTTTACACGGCGGTGAGTCTGAAGATGGCTGTCCACTGGGGTGTAGCGCCATGAGCCCTGATGATGGAGGCAGCAAGGTCCTCTGAAACGTTGCTAAACTTCTACCAGACCACACGGTGCTAAAACCACAGACGACAGCCATCTGCATTCATATTTCCGTTCCAAAGTACAATGACATCATGCTCAAACAGCGTCGAGGCGAATCCGCAAAGGAGCGTCGTTTTGAAGCGACGCCTAGTGACGCGGTGCCCCAGTACGAAGGGAACTTGTAATATTGTTGGCTAACAAGACTGGAATACTAAAATAGAACACGGAGGCGAGCGAGTATATGATAGACGAATGAGTGTATTCAATGGCACAGTCCAACAAAGTTTCTGAAATCCGAGGCTCCATCTAAAACTGAAGAACAAATTCGTATCAAATCAAATTGCAACTATAAATCACATCATCACGTAAACATTTCATGACGCAGCGTATTTCAGAAGCTGGTAGTCGCTTAGCTGTTGACAGGATTTCTGATCCATTATAGTGCGACAATGTTGCCCTTGCCTCTTTCCACTTCTTATTCTGCTCGACACTAGCTCATTTTTCACCCAGGGAGCACCTGACGCAAACCGCGATTTCATTGCAATCTATTCATGCACACACCCCCCCTTCATAACACCCCCACAGACTTGCTACCGTCCAGTCCTAAACAAAAGCACACCACGCATTCACCCCACGAAACCTGTTATTTATCCCTGATTCATATCACACGCACATACAGACAGAATTACTTTCACTTTAAGATAATTTATCCTTTGTCCTTGTAATCCTGGGGTCTCGGGTTCGATTCCCTGCGGTGCCCGAATTTATAACTTGTGTTGGGCAAGGCCGTGGTTTAGGCAACACGGAGTTTTCCTCCGTTGCATCCCAACAATTACTCCATTCACGCACAGAAGAAGGCAATGGCAAACCGCTTCTGGATCATCTGCCAAGAACGTATATGAACAGGTCCCAGTCCGAGAAAAGGATGGAAGGATCCTGTTCATATGGACCTGTCGTCAGACAGAACACTAAATAAAAAAAAAGAACCCATTGTTCTACCTTCACCCAAGCCAGATAAATCCAATCTAAACCTTCAAAATCTGTCTCAAGAAAGAAATGTTTTATTCTTTCAATTTATTGAACAGATATCTTGCTTTTACGACTAATGTAACCCTGTCGATTACACGCGAGATAAACTACTTTTGTGTAGCTCCGGATTGCGTAGAAATGGGCGAAAAGGGGTGGATCCTTTGTCTAATCTACCATCAGATAATCAACAGATCATGAAAACTAAGAGTTGCAGTTTTCAGTTGCCTTGGTGTAACCTGGTCGTAGAAAGCAGTGACGTCACCAGCAAATAAGGAACAGGCCAGATGACAGCCCGGGTTCCTGGCGCTGTGCGTTCATGTGTCATTCAGTGTCCAGCGGCAACGAGACACAGAGTCGGTGTCATCCTTTGAAGGGAGTTTGCTAATTAACGTGAGTCATGTCAACTCGACGTGACACTTCCTGGCTTTGTATTGATTCAAATGTATGAATTACGTGAACAGAGACTTCGGTTTGTATGTTTATTCCCTACATTGAACATGAATAAACCTGGCCTTTTTTTTTTATAATAACTGACATTTAATTGTATTTTCTTATGGGGCAGAGTCCTTGTTGAGTGAAGGATAATTAGTCTGACGCAATCTGACGAATGAGAAATTTTATGACGTCTTCAAATTCCCGCTACTGAACCCTATCCTGAGATAGTTTAATCTAGGCCACAACCTCACATTCAGGTATTTATTTACTTCATTATATATTTTTTGGTTTATTATCTGATATATTTTTCAATAGGTCACGTTGTGTATACTCTGATGATACGATTATTAATAAATAATAAATTGTAAAGGATATGAAAGGAAACGGTCCTTGTACTTCCAAAAATATGTTTCATGAGTACTAAACCACTCGACAGAGGCTTTTGATTATTTGTTTCAGAATCACGTTCATAAAATTTCCTCCCATCTACGCCCACGCAATACGGTTTTTCGTAGAAAATTTTGTGTTCATTTCTTAACTGTTTCCGTTCATCTCATTCTTCCTGGTTCGATCGTTTCGTGGTATTTTGTCAACAGACGATAGTCGTTATGTAGACAATATTATTCAGTCTGCTGGTAATTCGTCTCTCTTGAGTCCAAATATACTCATCACCTCAGACACACTCTGAGTTCTTCGTTGTTAAGAATTATCAGATTTCTCACCGATATAAAACAAAACACAAAATTATTTTTCAGGTATTTTTAATCTTCAGAGTTTCAGATAAGAGGTATGAAAATACAATATTCTCAATTGTACGTCTGCAAGAATTCCCCGAATTCAATCTGCTGTTAACTCCTTTGTGAATTTAAATATGATTGTTCATTTTTAATAAATTCTTCAGTGGTAAGAATTTTCATAATATCGGGTATCAAATAAATACACTCGTAAGTTAAGAAGGTACTAAATTCTCTTTGAGACTTTAATGATTTCTCATAAAGGAAACACAAGAAGTCAACACATTTAATATCTAGAAAGCTTCAATAAAAATCAATTATACGAGGTGCGATCGGAAAGTTTCCAGACTGCACAAACTTTTGTGTGGCATTCACGTTTTAAAAATGGCCGAACCTCTGTCGATGATGACGAGCGTTCTGGACGACCATCTTCGAGCACAACGCCCGAAAATGTTACGAAGAGTCGGCAGGCCATTCACGAAGATCGACGTCGTACCATCAACGACTTGTGCGACATTGTTGGGATAGACTATGGGACCTGTCAGCTGATTCTAAAGGAAGAACTCCACATGCGACACATCCTGTCTGAGGACCAGAAGCAGAATCGACTTCTCGTTTGTCAGGAGCTAAAAGATCTTGCAAGAACCGACCCCAACATCCTTTCTAAGGTTTCCTCTTCCCAAAGATGAAAATTCAACTAAAGGGAAGGAGATTTGAGACGATAGAAGAGATTCAGGCAGAATCGCAGATGGTGCTTGACAGGCTGACAAAGAAAGATTTCCAGGGATGCTTCCAGGCTTGGCAGCGGCGCTGGGATCGTTGTGCTGTGTGACTTCTTCCTCTTCCCAAAGATGAAAATTCAGCTAAAGGGATGGAGATTTGAGACGATAGAAGAGATTCAGGCAGAATCGCAGATGGTGCTTGACAGGCTGACCAAGAAAGATTTCCAGGGATGCTTCCAGGCTTGGCAGCGGCACTGGGGTCGTTGTGTTCACTCCCAGGGGAACTACTTCGAGGGTGATGGATGAATTTAATACCTGAGATAAGTGTACGGGTTTTTATACGCGCAGTCTTGAAACTTTCCGATCGCACCTCGTATGATGCAGATGAAATAAAAGACATATTTGCATTTGAATGTCGTTTCTATCACGGATTTCAAAGAAATGGATTATGACAGCACTCTGCTGTTTGAACAGTCTTGGTTCTAAGATCTGTAGAAAAATTTATCTGTGGTTGCTTGGACGCTTGGTCAGCCCACGTAGGTACCACAAACATGAGGACATAATTTAACACAGTCACTACACCTCGAAGAAAGAAACTAATTTGCAGGTTTAAAACTAAATTTTATATAAAAAGATGGATCATAGCATGAATGGTGTTGAATGAATTTGATTGGCTCAGGATATGGTCGGGTAGTGAGCTGATGTCAACACGGTAATGAACTTTCGAATTTTTAAGAAAGGCGAGGAAATTCTTGAACAGTTCAAAGACCGTCAGCTTCTCAGTAAGTATTCTGATCCATGAAATAGTTGGTTAGTTTTAAGACGAAAATAATACGCGTTATTCCGATGAGTACGAACAGAGAATGTGACGAGGCGAATGTGAGGATGAAAATTTTTACTAAAAGTGCCGACAGCGACTTCATAAATGCAATTACGTTGTGAAGGAACAAACGCATTTGTGCTTCACTGGCTAGACTTTGACTTTCCATCTAGCTTCCCCGAGAGACATTTAGTTTTTGTCTGCAGCTCGTTCTACGATGCTATTCATCCCAAAATTCAACAGCTTCAGAGGAACGTTAACTGGAATTTTATCACAGCACATAGTGATCATTGCGGAAACTCTGTGTTCCCATTTACGTCTTCACGATATGATGGTAGTTAATAAATATAATTAGCGAATACATTATTTCTGAAGTAATCATACCAAGTTAAAATTCGAATTTCTTCAGAATTTAAAATTTACTGCATAAATAAATTTTTCCATGCTGTAGAAAAGTGAGTTGACAATTTACTTAAAATTAAGCAGATATTTAGACATCATTGAATATACCCTGATAAGCTTCATATTTATTTAATATTAAAAATTACATTATATATATATATATAATGCAGTATAATAAAATAAAATATATATATAATAAAACGTATATAAAAATATTAAATTTTCTTATAATTCAGACATTCCTTTAAACCAATTACGATTTACTCTCGAGTTGACAATTTACTTAAAATTAAGCAGATATTTAGACATCATTGAATATACCCTGATAAGCTTCATATTTATTTAATATTAAAAATTACATTATATATATATATATAATGCAGTATAATAAAATAAAATATATATATAATAAAACGTATATAAAAATATTAAATTTTCTTATAATTCAGACATTCCTTTAAACCAATTACGATTTACTCTCGAGTTGACAATTTACTTAAAATTAAGCAGATATTTAGACATCATTGAATATACCCTGATAAGCTTCATATTTATTTAATATTAAAAATTACATTATATTAATGATTATATAATATATATTCCAAACGTTATCGTGCAATACACCACCTATGGAATCTGCCTACTTTACAGGATTATCCTCAGATTATGTCATGTGTTCACAGACTGAGCAGTTCACAGTTCTCTGGATTCTGTTTGGTAGCATCGTCCTTGGTAACACCGCAGTGTTGGTAGCACTGCTTCTCAACAAATCTCGCAAATCAAGGATGAATTACTTCATCATGCATTTAGCACTGGCAGGTCAGTAAATACATGTGAAATACACGATCAAGTTTACTAAAAACTAATTTTAATAGTCTATTTAGGATGTGTATGGAATGGAAGTAAAAATTGTCGATTTTCTGAACAGGCAAGTGGAATTCAGTTCACAATCACACGAGGGCTCACACAAGTTTCAGAACGTGAACATTCCACAGGAAAACACACCTTTTAACTGTTTACTAATTTATGAGTATTTTGTTATTCTTTAGAAGAATTTTGTACACATTTGGGATGAAAATCTTTTCCTCGAGAAGTTAAAAGAAAGGAAAGGAAGGAAGGAATGAATTCGAAATTATAAGTAACATAAAACGTAACTAATCACCAGTCACAAAAAGGATAAAATATCTCAACGCAAATATATCACTTAAATATATTTCAATGCATCTGATATCCAGGTTCGTAATTGTTCTATTACACCATTGTAGTAATATGGCGTGAACCGTGTTCGAAGATACTTCCGGCTCTCGTCCAATAGGAGGCCAATATATCCATCCTTCTTAGGTGTTTGTTCATTCTGTCTCCATACACATCTTGAATAGAGTATAGTACTACATGGTAATTTAATGTCAGCTTAAAAGTATTGGCCGTGTAATGAGTACAATCGAAAAAATGTTTAACCGAAACTAAACTTACGAAATTTGAAAGAAATCATTTTCAGTTAGCGGATGAAATGACGTAACTGAAGCGATTGCCACTAGGAGCGCAAATGCTGATATTTTTTGTAAAATGGCGACTCAGCGCGGGAAAGCTTTTCATATGCTCGAATTCAGTTCCGCTAACAAACCATGAAGTTGGGGCTTACGAAGTGTTAGCCTGGCTAACATGGTTAACATGAACGCTCGGATTCTGAATTCAGTATCACTTGTAATAATACACAACTACTACTGCTAATAATTATGATGATAATAATAATATTGTGGAACCAACAAGTCAAAACAGATAGAACCATTCAAAATAACAAACCAGATATTATAATCCGAAAGAAAAATGGAAATTGTCTCTTAATTGATGTAGCAATACCAACTGACAGGAATATAATTAAGAAGGATTCGAAGAATTTCTTGAAATACAAGGACCTTCTCATTTAAATACAGCGAATGTGGAAAGTGAAGGCAGAAGTTCCCAATAATTATAAGAGCAAATGAAACTGTATCCAAGTCACTCAGAAAATATTTGGCCAACATTCCGGGCGAACACGACATCAGGGAACTTCAGAAAACTGCCATTTTAGGATCTTCATACATCATTCGAAAGACGCTGTCGTAAAATATATAGTCATCCTCACAATAAAACTATATAATACATGTAACACGTATTAAAAACAAAATGCATATCGGAAATAGCTGCTGAAGTATGTACCTCAGTGGTAAGGTTATTCTCGGTTACATAGAAGTAAATACACTATAAAATGGTAAATAGATGGAATAATAATAATAATAATATCGACAGCTATTCCTGAAAATATCACGGCGTTGAAAATTCCTATCCTATTCCTGCAGTATTAGAATTTGTGCACATTTTGCTTAATTTGTAACCGTTGTTGTAAATATAATGTTTCCACTTTGATGCTGTCGGCGCCGTTGTTGTAAATATAATGTTTCCACTCTGATGCTGTTGGAAAGCCCTAGGACATGACGTCAAATTTCAAACCGTACCACAGTGGAAGGTCATTCAGTGGACCTCAATCCAACCAACTCAGCCCGCAGTGGAAATTGGGAGCGAGCGAGCAGAGAAGCTTTGAGGTTACTTCTAGGGCGTGGATAGTTACTGCCTGAGAATAACCACGAAAAAGCCTCCAGCATTGGCAATGATTCAAACTGTAAACCGCAAATTCTCTGTTCAAGTGTTCCTCCGAACTCCTTCGCCCTACGCTTATTCAAAATCGATTATAGCTCTGTGAGAGGAAATCGTGTAGAATTGTTAAATCACGTCAGTCTTCTTGTGCGTTTTGTGCTGTGATCTGTAAAACTCCTTTGACTGTCTCTTCGTATACAACAAGCAAATGATTAACGAAAATTGAATCCTAAAAGATATTGAAAGACGCATTTGTGGTCTAATTAAATATCCCAGGACTTCCCTGTAGTAAATAACAAAGGACCTCAGTCAAGATAACCGGGCTCTGGGCCGAGTGTTTGAACCTGTGACCTCCAAGACTGCTAACCTCTCAGCCACGACATTCGGTGGTACCTCCTGCTGTTAAGTGACGAATATAAGGTAACTGAATTTTGTCGACACGGTCTCGTCCTCTCAGGTTCTCAATTAGGTCCTATCGTTACAAAAATGACTTACTTTGTCTCTCCCCCAAGCAACACGTGGATTTAATTTGCAGATGAAGTGATTTAAACACTTTGTAGGCTACATTTTGGGATTACCTCACACGAATATTTTGCTACGGGACTGATAAGAAATTAAATTATTCAAAAGCGTTATAAAGGATTTGAAATATTAAAAATTAAGTCATCCCAAAATTTACTCCGAATTCCTAAAACCTTCGTAAAGTCAGTCTTCTGCCTTATAATGGACTACATGTCCACGGCAGTTGTGCAGTCATTGTTTCGATTTTCGTGAGAAATTTTATATGCATTATAATTAACGGTAGATAAAATATAAAATGAAATTTAATGTTTCAAGGTCACAGCAAAATCATACAATGTTCCAACAAAAAGCGAATGAAGACAGCTTAGAACTCACACAGTAGCAAAGCTATCAACGCTGTACAGTTGGCTTAGAACCGATCGGTATTTGGAGAAGGGGTCAACTCCATCCGTGACCTTTGAGCATGCAATTTGATGATGGCTACTGTTTTGTATCAGAATATTGTTGTTCATTCCCTCGTATATCAAATCGAGTCATTGGGGCTCAGATCTGAGCCAGTTTCATCCAGCTCCATATCCTCGATATCTAAGTTAGATTTAAGGTTGTTTTAGCATTGTTCTGGGTTGTAACTCCTTGTGAATTCGTGGGTAAATTTCACGTTTTAGAGAAATATATTGTCTCCATCTTTAGCTATGATATATGAGTCCAAACAGCATTACGATACAAAGGAATATAATCGATATCTCTTCATGATCGATCTTGGTGTCTTTTCTGAACTTATATAGGAAATATATAATTCAAAATTCCAGCCAATCCTACTTTTCTATATCTCATGGTCCTAACAACAGTCTTGGCAGGCTTAAAACATGTAAATTACGACTCCCTAGTTTTCTGGTACTTTTCGTGAACTGCTCGCGAGTCCAAGCAGTTTCAAAAACACAATGGACGATAACAGGATTTGAGGTTCCCCACAGCGGTGAGTCCGAAGATGTCTATCTTCTGGGTTGGAGGGCCGTGTAGTTTAGTAGAAGCTTACCAACGTTTCAGAGGTCCTTGCTGCCTCCATCATCAGTGTGACTCAACTCCCGAAACGTCGTTTATGTCAATCATGCCTCAGATATTTGACAATGCCAAAATAATGTTTGTATAATGAATAAACCGTTGTCACAAATCTTAGATTTTCTCGTATTGGTAACTTTAACCAAGACGTGGTTTATTTATTACACACAACTGAGTGAATCAAGTATTAGCAGACGTACTTCGAATTGTGTGGTAATTCGGTCCAGATAACACATGGTTTTGATCTCAGTAGTTTATACGTACTCCCTAACAAGCCAACTGGTGCATGAATTTTATCAGGATTAAACGTGAATCTGTGTATCCTGAAGTTTGGTTACTGTCGATCGTATGGTTGGTATAACTGATACACGCCATCTGCATGAATTCAGAGCCACAGGCATCTCTTCGGTGAAGGCAATGTGTTGTTGGGTCGTAGACATAGAACTCGAAAGTTTATTTACACGGCTCTAAACTGCGTTGTTCAGAGCCCCAGGACCCAAAATGAAACCGTGAGGTCAGCTCATTATACACAGCGTTGTTACTCAAACCAGATAATTTAAAATTGGCTAATTTTATTAAATTCTGTCCTGTATTTGACAAAATAAGGAACCAGTCTTATTAAATTATCATACGTGATTCAACCGCCACGGTGGTCTAGCGGTTAGAACGCTGGCCTTGTAATCCTGGGGTCTCGGGTTCGATTCCCGGCGGTGCCCGAATTTCTAACTTGTGTTGGGCAAGGCCGTGGCCTAGGCAACACGGAGTTTTCCTCATTGGCATCCCAACAATTACTCCATTCACACTCACACAGAAGAAGGCAATGGCAAACCCCTTCTGGATCATCTGCCAAGAACGTATATGAACAGGTCCCAGTCCGAGAAAAGGATGGAAGGATCCTGTTCATATGGACCTGTCCTCAGACAGAACACTAAATAAAATAAATAAATAAGACAAATTATTTCATAAATATTTGTTCTGTTCGATGAAGCTGTAATACGTCACACTAAATGTTGCTGTCGAGTGGTCTGTTTCGAAATCAGGAGGTACCTGGTTTAAATCTCGACCCTGAGACCGGTTATCCTGACTAAAGCTTTCGTGGTATTCCTTGGTCACTCCAGGTAGAAACCGAGATCATACCTTAACTTAGACAACATCTTCCTTCCATATCGTTTAAAGTTCATTAATCATGCAGAAATTTCACTGAAACAGGAGCTCTGACCACTCAACATTAACATTCGTTGTAGTCGCGGACCGGTGGTTGAGAAACACTGGCCTAGGTGGCAACTACTTCTGAGGTCTTTTTGACTCAGCCTTCGTAATACCACATTTCAGTTCTTAAACTGGCCTTAAAAGTAGGAAACTCCTTCTTGGTTTTCGTCAGGAGCTGATTTAGTACCTTCACAGCTACCATCTACATTTGAGCGTGGATGATTATGGGACCTGAGACATTGGCCCAGATCAGATTGTAACGTCAGGTTCTCTGAAGACGTTGATGGACACTTGTATTTAAAAGAATGGAACTTCTGGAGAAATTAAGTGGCTAAATGATTGAAGAAGACTGTGTATCATGCAACTCACTGCAGTTATGCGCCTGTCTGTCCTAC